CCCGTGATGTCGAAGCGGTCAGTAGACGAACACGAAGCTGCACAGTGTGTTGCCGTGGCTGAACACGAAGCTGCACAGTGTGTTGCCATGGCTGAACACGAAGCTGCACAGTGTGTTGCCGTGGCTGAACACGAAGCTGCACAGTGTGTTGCCGTGGCTGAACACGAAGCTGCACAGTGTGTTGCCGTGGCTGAACACGAAGCTGCACAGTGTGTTGCCGTGGCTGAACACGAAGCTGCACAGTGTGTTGCCGTGGCTGAACACGAAGCTGCACAGTGTGTTGCCGTGGCTGAACACGAAGCTGCACAGTGTGTTGCCATGGCTGAACACGAAGCTGCACAGTGTGTTGCCGTGGCTGAACACGAAGCTGCACAGTGTGTTGCCGTGGCTGAACACGAAGCTGCACAGTGTGTTGCCGTGGCTGAACACGAAGCTGCACAGTGTGTTGCCATGGCTGAACACGAAGCTGCACAGTGTGTTGCCGTGGCTGAACACGAAGCTGCACAGTGTGTTGCCGTGGCTGAACACGAAGCTGCACAGTGTGTTGCCGTGGCTGAACACGAAGCTGCACAGTGTGTTGCCGTGGCTGAACACGAAGCTGCACAGTGTGTTGCCGTGGCTGAACACGAAGCTGCACAGTGTGTTGCCGTGGCTGAACACGAAGCTGCACAGTGTGTTGCCGTGGCTGAACACGAAGCTGCACATTGTGTTGCCGTGGCTGAACACGAAGCTGCACATTGTGTTGCCGTGGCTGAACACGAAGCTTCACATTGTGTTGCCGTGGCTGAACACGAAGCTTCACATTGTGTTGCCGTGGCTGAACACGAAGCTTCACAGTGTGTTGCCGTGGCTGAACACGAAGCTTCACATTGTGTTGCCGTGGCTGAACACGAAGCTTCACATTGTGTTGCCGTGGCTGAACACGAAGCTGCACAGTGTGTTGCCGTGGCTGAACACGAAGCTGCACAGTGTGTTGCCGTGGCTGAACACGAAGCTTCACATTGTGTTGCCGTGGCTGAACACGAAGCTTCACAGTGTGTTGCCGTGGCTGAACACGAAGCTGCACAGTGTGTTGCCGTGGCTGAACACGAAGCTGCACATTGTGTTGCCGTGGCTGAACACGAAGCTTCACATTGTGTTGCCATGGCTGAACACGAAGCTTCACAGTGTTGCCGTGGCTGAACACGAAGCTTCACAGTGTGTTGCCATACAGCACTCAGCCTGGTGACGATTGGCTCCGTATCCAAAGGCAGATTTGACTCGTGCCCATGGACGTGGTCGGACAGTCCCTCGCTTCAATGGACCAAAATCGACGGTCAATATTGACCTTTTTTAGCAAGTCTCAGTAGACTCAATACACCTTCGAATCACGTCAAACTTGGCGACAAGGTCAATGAAAGACCGATAAGCAGATTTGCTGATTCCGATTTTTTCTTTAAACTGTTTTATGAGGACCGGTGTGTTGTGCTGCACCGGTGTATCGCCAATACGTCAACATACAATGCCTGCCTTGGATGAGCAGTGGCACGGTGTTCAGTGCACTGCTCTATGAACTTGGCAGACCAACGTTGATTCCCGGTCCTGACTAACCCCAGCGGGGGATATCTAGACCGGTCCTTGGTGCCCCTAGCCATCCACCAACACGCACGGACCACCCTGGTGACGCTTGACTGACATGGCGTGGGGATGCGTTCATTCAAAGTTAATTTGACAAAGTGTCTGTATATTTCTTGACTTGAAGCTTTCGTGACTGCAGGAATACATACTCTTTTTTTCGGTAAATCACGTAGGTAGAAATAAAACAAAATGCATGACGACGTTTCGATAGCAACACAAGCCATCGACGTTTCGATAGCATCGAAACGTCGTGATTCTTTTTGTTTTATTTCTACCTACGTGACTTACCGAAAGAACCAAAGAGTAGGAATACATATTCTATGGGTCTTTTACCGAAAGACCCATAGAATATGTCTATATATAGTAACACCTGCATTTCACGACAGTTATCTATTTGAAAAGATACTTCTCTACGTATTTACCTACCAACCTTTAAAATTGCTATGACAATCCACTATTGGATGAAGGCCTCTCCATACTATGTCGGCTATCCTGGTTGTTTTAGCATAATTAACCACGCTGCTCAGTGTGCGTTGGTGAATAGGAGGGCCCAGAACTGGTTCGGATATCACTACCCACTGGTGGTAGCCATCGCCGGGAGTTTCATTTGCCACTTTATTTATAACGCAGTGGACTAGCCACTGCATCACCGCTCCCCTGATACTGGACCTGGCGCATATCGAGTGTAACGAATGAAGCCCAATACATCTGTGGAAGTCATACGACGCGTGTGGAATTTGTTTGTCTGCTCATTTTCTTGTCGTTATTGTTGTAAAAAAAAAATGTTTCAAAGTAACCACCGCCGTCCAAGAATAGCTCCACTACAATGGGGCCCAATATAGACGGGGACATGAAGGCAACTCTGTCACTCGCCAGGCGGGCGGGTGAGGCCCAGAGGTGGCGAGGCCCACTTCTTTTTTTTGTGGTAATGGCCACGATCGTTTTCCACCGGTCCTTATTCCGTCAAACAAAAAAATTAATAATAAAAACAACAACTTTGGGGAATAGTTGTGTCCGGATCGCAAATACAAAGCAAGGACGACTGTCGTCTTTGTTTGCTCCTCGCTTTCCTGTTTTTCTTTATATTATAAATGTTAGTAAACTTCCAATTGCAGGAAGCATCTGCTACTATTGTACCTAATATATGAATTATTTTGTTGGATTTTTTTTCTTCGTCACAGATCCAGTAAAGCTATTTTTGCTTTGGCGGGATTGCCCCAAGAGGGAGCATTGAATAGACCTTTGGTTGATTTAGCACCAGCCTCAAATGACGTCATTTGGACATATTTGCAACCAAAATGAAATAAAGGTGATGTTTGATCTGCAATATATATGTTGTTATAGCACCGCTCCACAGAGAAGAAATGTCAGTAGAACTTAAACAACCTTCTTCGTTAATTAAAACGCTTATAAAAACAGACTGTGAATGTATGAAAGTTTAGGTTCATACTTCTAAACAGACAACTAGTATGAGCACATAATTGCTGTTGTTCAGACAATGTAGAGGTTGGCTCGGCTTTGAATTTCATTTGCCTGTAAGAATAAAATAATTTAAGCAAGGACAATATTTCCAGACCCTCGTTGTTTTAGGAATTACATTTTATATTAAGATTCACAGAGAAGAAAGGGTCTGGCTGAGCGTGCCAGCGAATCGATGACACACGCAACAGCATGCCCGGGAGTTGCTCAGTTAACAGTGGCTGAACAGGAAGTATCTCTTGCCGAGCAAATTAGCACTCCTTCCTGCAGCAAGGTGATGACTGCTTAGCCAATTCCCCATAAGAGTTGTGCCCAGACCTGGCATTGGCCCTCGCCTTGAGATTTGTGGAGGCTGCGAGGTGTTAAGTGACTCGGCCCATTAACAACAAACAAGGTGCACGTGCGCCTTCACAATACAACGACATGTTCTGTGCTCAAAATAAATAGGGTAAAGTCATGGTGGGGTTATTTATTTACCTCAGGTCTTGAAGGAAAAATTAATAGCTGAACCTGGGTTTGACTTTTAAACAATTTGACTTTGGCCTCGCCTGTAAACTTCAGTGGAGTCAAATGCTTAGAGGTTGGGAAGAGTGGGCAGACTATAATATATTCGTTTGCCGGGAAAAAAAATTGTAACAGCTAGGACAATATTTTAAACCGTATTGTCGTTTTGCGAGAATTACATTGGAATATTAAGGCTCACAGAAAACAAAGGGCCTCAGTGAAAGAGTTATTTTACTATGGAGGGGTGGCTCTCAGCTTCAGACTAAATAGAGTATATTTGTATTTAAAAACGCAAAAATTGTCTTTCCCACCTGATGACGAACGCTTGTGTTGCGCCCGAAACGTCGTGATTTATTTTATTTTCTACCTACGTGACTTTACCGAAAGAATCAAAGAATATGGATTCCTGCAGTCACGAAAGCTTCAAATCTAGATTGTTATAGTTTTACATGCTATAACAAAAGGTCATTACCCAAAACATCACCTCTTATATATTTGCCTTTAAAGGCAGCGTTATTTATGAATGTGTAAAGTTTGTTTTGCTATTTGTGCTTGTGCACCAAAGCCAAAACACAGTGTCCACCAAATAATGTGTTCAAACTGCATTACCTTCCCTTCCAACGCACAGCGAGTCTGTCGAGCAGGGCACCTTGCTCATACCCACTGACACCCCCAGGTTTCACGGATCAGGCAAGAGAATTGCCACCTCTGCGGTATAACAAACTAACTGAGACGTATCACGGGAAGAAGGCGATCGCACAATACCAGATGGGGGGAGGACGACATGTAAACATGATGCACAGTCTTGCGTGGTGCATTATCACGCAACTGACCAAAACCATGATGCACAGTCTTGCGTGGTGCATTATCACGCAACTGACCAAAACCATGATGCACAGTCTTGCGTGGTGCATTATCACGCAACTGACCAAAACCATGATGCACAGTCTTGCGTGGTGCATTATCACGCAACTGACCAAAACCATGATGCACAGTCTTGCGTAGTGCATTATCACGCAACTGACCAAAACCATGATGCACAGTCTTGCGTGGTGCATTATCACGCAACTGACCAAAACCATGATGCACAGTCTTGCGTGGTGCATTATCACGCAACTGACCAAAACCATGATGCACAGTCTTGCGTGGTGCATTATCACGCAACTGACCAAAACCATGATGCACAGTCTTGCGTGGTGCATTATCACGTAAATGACCAAAACCATGATGCACAGTCTTGCGTGGTGCATTATCACGCAACTGACCAAAACCAATTTATTTTTTTACGCTTCGACAAAAGCTTGCCACAATTTCCTGGGGTGGAAATTAAACAGAAACCACGACAGGTGGCAACCATACCAGGCGCTCACGTACGGATGCGCCCTTTGGCACGTCCTCACCTGCTGCAGCCACCGAGTGGCATTGGCCACGGCCGTCTCGAGCAGCTGCAGCCGCTGCAGGGACGCGTCCCCGTCCAGCGGCGGGGCGTCCCTCTGGATGCCGTGGCGTGCCTCGGCGTCTTCCCCGCTGCCGCAGTCCGAGTCGAGCTCCGGCAGGAGGAATGTGTAGGTGCAGCCGGCGTGTCGCAGCCGGTGGTAGCCCTGCCTCGAGGGCACGGGGTTGTGCGGCCGCTCGGAGCCACGATCCAGCGCCGCGCCGCTCAGGAGGAGGGTGCCGGCCAGCCAGAGGCAGGAAGACCACATCGTGTTGCGCGCAGGCTCTGCAAAGGCTGTTCTCAACCAGATTCCTTTTTTTTTGTACACGCGGCGTTGGACTCTTAAGGCGAAGCACCACGGCTGTGTTAATGATTATGGAACAAAAATTGCCGTTAAGATGTTTGCCCCGGGGTTTCTTTTTTTTAATACGCACGCAATATATATGTTTACAAAGGGCAGTGCTTATTTCACTGACATAAATTCAACTTTCCACAAAAACAATTTAAACAAAAAATGTACAAATACCCAATTCCTGTTACGTAATCCGACTTTAGCTGGACATTTGTTCGTGGTGCATGCCTGGTGGAATGTATTCCTGTTTGCACCATGACACGGAGGAGCATGCAGCTAAAAGCCCCTTTTGCCAGCTGAGGCAGAACATATTTATAAACCTCAGGGAGGGGTTGGGTGATTCGCGGCGAATGGGGGGGCCTTGGTATTGTGTGCCTGGGAGTTCCGACTTCCTTTCTCCCGCCCCAGGAGGTCTGGGGCACTCATCATAGGCCGAGTTCCCCAGCAGGGCTGCGGAATGTCCTCACCCAATTTCTCTCGGAGGGTAACAGGGCCGGGGGTAGACTGACGCGGTTCATACGCAAGCAACGCAGACGCGCGTCGCGTCCTCAGTGCTGCCACTTGCAGAAAGTGCCAAGAGAACTGCTTCTGTTTGTGTCCTCTGCAATTGTAATGCGGGATGGGTATCTACACCTCTACATGCATGACTTTACGTATATGTTTTTACGTTGTACATTCTGCATGTGTACACGTATGTCTACCACTTCGTAATATCACTGTGTCTGCTCAGTAATATTACAATTACTAAAATGCGTTTGTAACCGAAAAAATAAGTGACCTATGTTTAGCATAATACAATGACTCATTCAAAACAATCATATTAGCAGGACTGCTGATGGGAACCTGTTGACAATTACCATTGTCACTTGGTAATACTGATTTGTTACTTGCGAACCATGAAAAAGGCAAACTAAATATTGTCTCTAATTAAATTGCAGCAATTTTAAATGTCACCGCAGCGTTGTTGCAAAGCGTGCGCTCTGTTACACACATCGTTACGCAATGTGCGCGTAGCCCTCTATCTGGCTCAGTTCTGTTTATCATTTCAGAGCTTATAAACAGAACCACGTTATGTTTATAATCACGGCCGGGCATGGCTAATCAGTGCGCTTTTGAAAAAGCAAGACGTAAAAGAAATGCAGCATTCTGGTTCAGCCCTTTTGGACAAGTCAGCAATCTCAGGGTAACGTGGCTTTCTGGGGAAGAATGTGCCAACCCACACACTACTGAGGGGGGGGGGGGGGAGATATGCCTATCATCATCAAAAAGTGTTTTTTTTTGTGAAGCATACGTCGACATCCAGCTGCAATGATTAACATCAAGGCAACTGCCCACACAAGACGTGACCGTGGTGACTGTTGCATTTTTACAGATACGTAAAAAACACACACACTTAACAAAATGGCATTCACAGAATTACCTACTGAGTTTTCTGGGTTATTATTTCACCGCAGCACAAACTTGCTATTGATTACCCTCAAAGGGATATTTATTTAATTAGGGGTAATATTAGTCTTGCTGTGTTTTTCTAAAGATAATGGCACCAGAGCAGCCCCTACAAAGGCTGTATCTGCCAATGATTAATGGCGCCTGCTACAGAGATCACATTTGCCTTAGAACTTGTGATTAAAGTTCCGTAACTTCTGTCCACAGTGTCTCGCCCGCTGACTGTTCAGTGACGGCGATATCGAGTGTGCAGCCTGTGCAACTGCACTGGGGTGCACAGGCTGGAATGGGAGTGTGGGGGTAGGCGTTGGTCTATGGAGAGAGGGGAAATTGGGACAGGGGGCCCCGTTTAATGGTATTATACCGAGGCCCGTGCTAACCACGCTACACCGCTGCCTCGATTTGCTGAAATAATAGCCATTAGTATGTTTGTCGAATTTATTTCGCGCCCTACGTAGCCAACCGTGCTAATCGGAGGTGTGGTAAACCTTTGACACCTCATCATGTAACTGTTGGCTGAATACCTTTTACTTTCGCTTGTACTTATGCATGTTGATTTGTATTAATATATGATGGGTTTGATACCCAATTAATTCCAATTGTGCTGTCGGAGCCTCTTCGCAAATATCACAGAGTGCGCCCCGTTTAAGAGATTGGCTTCTGTGAAATTGTTTGTCGCATGATAGTCAAACCGATATTTTTAATTCTCACAACAGGAAGTGAAAATCTTGACTTAAAGCTTTCGTGACTGCAGGATTTCATATTATTTGGGTCTTTCGGTAAAGCCACGTAGATAGATCAAACGAGAAATAAAACAATATCACGACGTTTCGATCGCAACACGGGCAATCGTCATCAGGTGAGAAATATCGCGGGAGAGCTGCTGAGAATATATATTCGATCGAAACGTCGTGATATTGTTATTTTTTTATTATTATTTGATCTATCTCCGTGACTTTATCGAAAGACCCAAAGAATAGGAAGTGCAAAGCAACAATTTAGGTGATGGACTTTTTGAAAGCCAATGCATTTGATAAGCCGAGTTTTAATCATAGGTGGCTGTCCAGATTCCAACCTAGGGTCTCAGGCGGTGTTGGATAACTACTCTGACGATTGACCCATCCGGCCACCTGTTAATAAATGTTATTTTTTTAAACTGCAGAGGAATGTTTACAAGTCTGTGATGAACGTGGATGACTTAACAATGCTCTGATTCGTTTCATAATGCATTCCGTGTTATTCGGGGTTGGGTTCTTGGAATTGGAATTTTTTTCCAAAGAATAAAGGGAAATATTTCCTTGCGAAGTAGAGATGGTAAAATTTACAGTAAAGGAGAGATAGATTTTCCCAGAAAGGAATCGACCAGGGACTTGAAGACAAATTCCGGCATGAAACTGCTAAAAGCAGAGTCCTCCATCTCAATAGCAGCAGCAAGTTTACATATATCACTATGTCACAGCCACGGAGAGATGTTTTTTTTCCAATGATGAAATTGTTGTTAACGTATTTCTGCTCCAACACTTGTTGGACTTTTCTCAAAGGGATTCAGGATCCCAACTTTATATGTTGTTCAATGCCCCATAGCCACAGTGGCATCTTGTCCAAGTTTTTGAACGTGACACGTGTTGCAACCACTGATGTATCTCAACAGAGATAAATCAAACAAACAGGCATCTCAAATTCTAAATGACCCATACTTTTTTTTTAACGGTGCGGCATCCAATATCTGAGCAAAAAAAAAACATTGTTCGCAAGCTGTGTTGATTTCCAGCAGTGAAATCTGATGCAGCTTTTTTAAAAAAATTCTAAAATCTGCCTTGTTTAGGTGCGACCAATAGAGATAATGGAACAGTGAGTGGCGTTGTGCCAGAATTTGTATGATACTATCTGTTGCACACACTTGACACAAGGGAATTATTGTTCAAAAACCTGTTGCGGATCATACAGCTTCAATCTAAATGGATGTAGGTGCCAGCGTTGTGTCTAGGTCAAATAGAAAATCGTGGAAGCGAAAACTTCTTTGGCATTATTTTGTAGGATTTTGAAGTGAGCAAGAGTACTTTGGCAGATTTCAGTGCAGGAAAATACAAGGGAAATTCCTCAACACCCACGTGCATTGCTTGATAATCGTTCAGTGAGATGCATCAGTGAACAGAAAACATATTTGCCTGTTCTGACCATTGTTTATTTTCCAATTACCTGTTGTTGCACTGTTGCCAACTATTTTCCATCCTTGTTGAAATATACCAGCTACTGGTCACTTTGCAATTCATTGTAGCCGAATGTCTGTGGTTGCTTTAAGATTGAATCGCTTACAAAAGTAGTTCAAATCCAGTGAGTAGTGTGTAGCCGATTCTAACTCTATGTTGCACCCAGATATGTGCAGGCGTATCTGCTATTGTTTCGATACCTGTTTGCATCAAATTATAACCAGAAACTGCTGTGTGTGCTTGTGAAAAACAATTACAATCACATTACCAGCTGTGCATTTTGCAATATGCCCAAGACATTACTAGGGGCCTCGTCCCAAAAGTACGATGTAGTACAAACCTCATTGCTATGTAATCATTAAGCCAGTGTACCTGCCCTGTTCAGCAAGTCTTTATCCAGCACGGCAGCTGTTATAACTAAGCCATTGAGAATTACATCTCCAGAGGGAGCCTGATCTTAACATTGATCCTTCTTCCGTTCTTCTAGTTTTTGTCTATGGCCTTGTGCTGGCGAACTGCAATGTAAACGTATGCTGGGTGATTACCTCCGCATGATATATGGCACTGATAGAAGGCGGTGGTGGAGTGTGGTGCCCGGATACGACCAGTGGTCCGCGACTGCCCCCCAGGTGGTTCGCGGCATTGTGATGTAAACTTAGTTTGATCCGGAAATAATTACAATGTTTATTCCTTTTGTTTCGGTCATTAACTAATATTTGACGGATTATATTTAATAAGTAAAAAAATTAAGTTAGGAAAACTACACTGATTAGACGACCCGAACCCTAAGATCTAAATGCCACCCCTAAAAAAAAACTCTGGCTGTGTAGTTTTTTTGTATGTTCCGGTAAAATGAATCGTTTTGTATCACTGGTATTTAAAGTGAGAAGTGAATGTGTTTTGTCACCATGGGTGGGGAACTTGAGTGGTCCGAGGGCCGAACAAGGTTGAGAAACACTGATATATGGCAACGTTAACCGCTCTATTTATTTTTACTAAGACCAACTTTTCTTTTCAACACAAAGTATTGAATGTTCAAACAAATATATAACAATAAATAAGCTTATTAAAACAAAATAGTTTTGATGTCGTGCCGATGTGTGGCCTTCACTGACTGTAACTTTTTAGTTTTTCACGTCTTAATATAGAGCATGGTTTAAAACAACTACTGTACGGCAATGGTTGTTAAATAATTTAGTTTGAAGGAAAATAAAACAACACTTAATGTTGATGTTTTAACTTTATACACTGTTGTCATTCATGCAAATCGCATCTCACAATTGCTGAGGAACCACAGACAAGCTCGAAGGCAGCCACGCGGTGATGCGGCACCAACAATTGGCCAAGTTCTGCAATCCTCTATACATTAAGATGTTTCCAGCCATATACAATCAAAACGGCGATACCAAATAGTGGCAGTGGATGGGTTGTGATCGTGAATTAAAACAATAATTATTTATTATCAAAGACATGAGAAACACGACGCACAGACTTGATGTTTAACCGTAATGTTTTGTTTTGATGATTAATGCTGCAATTTAACTTCTTGCACGAGACCTTGTTGAGTGTCAGGATGCGTGTAATTTGACAGATAATCCTTGGAAAAAACACGTATGGCCTTCAGTAAGCTGATACCAATGCATC